ACCGATGGTTTGACACTGTGATCAAGCTCCAAACCCACAGTTCCTGGAAGTTTTCCATAGCCACTAAAGAGTTTCCGATGATCATCGACGATCTTCTACGCTTTCACCCGATAGATATTGAACAGATTTTCCGGCTGGGTTGATAGGTGATCTGACTCCGGTTTGCCAAACGAAACTGTGTTGCAAAATTTAACCAGTCCGAGTTCACGGAAAGCTCTAGCAGACAATAGCGGACGGTGGTCAACATCCACTATTTGAAGCACCAAGAGAAACTTCTTACCTGACCGACGACATGGCACTTTCACTTGTCCCAAAACGTTAATTGGATTGCCTCCAAAGCTCTGCAGACGCAACTTAGATGGAAGAAGTGGCGGTGCTTGAACTCCGGAAAGCTTCTTCAAGGTAGCATGTCAAATAAGACTGGTATTAGCATAGAGGTAACTCTAAGACCAGAAGGTCCCGAAATAACGTGCTCAACTTTTTGGCTCAGCTCTGGTACCAACCGGTGAACACTCGTGTTCATTTCAGTTACCGTGGGGAAGTAATTCGTGATTAGCCCGGTCCCTTTCAAATTGTATCATTATTTATGTACGGTCCTTATATTTGAAATGACGTTTCACATTCATCTAGTGATGGCCGATTTTCATTCGAATAATTGATTAATCGATTAAAGAACCGAAAAGTAAAATATTTGTAATCGGTTATATCAACAATCAATATGAAACTAATGATTTAAAATTGGCTCACTACTTGACTAGCCTATTGGTCCCAAGCAAATCGATTATCGTACCCCATTCTAGTCGAAATTCTACTACTACACAATGTTTGTTTTGATTCGCTATGAAAGTTTGACAGCTAAAATGAGGGATTCGTGGATTTTCTTATGTTTCGAGGGGTGCATCGATTAGCTTGGGACCGAAGATAGTACCAGATCTGAGCCAAAAAGTTGAGCACGTTTCTTCGGGACCTTCTAGTCTTAGAGTTACCTCTATGGTTATATCACAAACGAAGTGACAGACGACTAACTGGCGAAGAAATCCATTTAAATAATGTGGTTCACTGTAATAGAATTTTCTTGGAAGCTTGTGCCATCATCCACCAGATGGGTTAGTTTTTTTGTTTTGATTTGAACAAAGTTGATTTTGTGTACAATGATTCTTGGACAGTGTGCAAAGAGTGCGTATCATTTTGTCATTTTTTTATGGATTTCAGTTTTGAGTAGAGTGAAAGAGATAGAACCAAAACATTCTAGTACATTTGGTGAAAATGCTAGTTCAATCTAGTAGAAGTGTTGCCATGTGGTACAATCCAGTAGTAGTGGTGTTGCCATGTGGTACACTGAAAAATTGCAATAGCAGGTTAGTCACCAAAGTTTTCGAGCCGCTCCGTCTGTCACTTCGTTTGTGGTTATATCGTGCCGATCGTGGTGGCAAAATGGCAGCACAGCGAACAAAAAATAATCGATTAGTTGTTAATCGAGTAATTAAAAAATGGGACATCTCTGATTTTGGTGTGTTTGTTTTGATAAAAATGAGCGCAAAATTTCATCTCTACTGAGGGGGCAGCAAAACCGCAAAATTACTTTGAATACGGGGGGTATTCATTGGATGAAAGGGACCGTGAAAGAGGACACTAAAATTTAAGGTTTTTCTTCCGACAGTTTCATCTTAGTATTCATCTTTGCTGGTTCACCGATTACCGACAGCAAAAAGCTTACCTACTTGGCATTATCTGTAGGAGGCCATTTATCCATATCGATGGCCTTCGAATAGTTCTCCCAGCTCCTCTCAAAGAATTCGAAGTTTTCCGACATGTCACCCTCCAATGATAGAGGTGACGGCTGCGGTACCGGAACATACGACGTACTTGCTTGTGGTTGTGTTGCTTCTCGAGAAGGTGCTGATTCACTACGTGACGATGTTACAAAAATCAATACGAAACTAACGATTTTAAATTGGCTCACTACTTGACTAGCCTATTGGTCCCAAGCAAACGATTAACGTACCCCATTCTAGTCGAAATTCTAGTACTACGCAATGTTTGTTTTGATTCGCTATGAAAGTTTGACAGTTAAAATGAGGGGTTAGTGGTTAGAGTACCAGAGCTGAGCCAAAAAGTTGAGCACGTTATTTCGGGACCTTCTAGCACAAACGAAGTGACAGACGACTAACTGGCGAAGAAATCCATTTAAATAATGTGGTTCACTGTAATAGAATTTTCTTGGGAGCTTGTGCCATCATCCACCAGATGGGTTAGTTTTTTTGTTTTGATTTGAACAAAGTTGATTTTGTGTACACTGATTCTTTGACAGTGTGCAAAGAGTGCGTATCATTTTGTCATTTTTTTATGCATTTCAGTTTTGAGTAGAGTGAAAGAGATAGAACCAAAACATTCTAGTACATTTGGTGAAAATGCTAGTTCAATCTAGTAGTAGTGTTGCCATGTGGTACAATCCATTAGTAGTGGTGTTGCCATGTGGTACACTGAAAAATTGCAATAGCAGGTTAGTCACCAAAGTTTTCGAGCCGCTTCGTCTGTCACTTCGTTTGTGGTTATAGCATAGAGGTAACTCTAAGACCACTGGGTCCCGAAGAAAATCATTATTATTTTTGGCTCACTCAGTACCAGAACAACGGTCCCAAGCAGTCCCAAGCTATTTCACTCACCCCTGCATGTTCTGCATGAATCCACACACCCCTGATGTTATCTGTCAAACTTTCATAGCGAATCAAAACAAACATAGTGTAGTAATAGAATTTCAACTAGAATAGGGTACGTTAATCGTTTGCTTGGGACCAATAGGCTACTAAAGTGGTGAGCCAATTTAAAATCGTTAGTTTCGTATTGATTGTTGGTTATAGTCCTCGCCGTGTTAAGATCGTTCGCTTCAATTAAGTTTATATAAATAGCTAACACTTGGACTTTTAATAATATTGAAACATGGTGTCAGGAAGTGCCGCAGGCTTCTAACTGTTTCCGGTGTCATAAAGTGAAATCGCGGAAGTTATCAAACTGACCACACAGAGCGAAAAGAAAGAGAAAAAAATCTAACTTGTTCGCTCCTGTTTCGTCGCGTCGGCGGCCATTTTGGGAAGTGGAAAATTTCATATGATTTAGGTTCGGAAATCCTCATCGATATGGATAATGACCAATTCAAGATGTTCTTGGAACATCAAACGAAAATATTTACGCATCTGATGAATACAGTAACATCATAGAGGTAACTCTAAGACTAGAAGCACAAATGAAGTGACAGACGGAGCGGCTCAAAAACTTTGGTGACTAACCTGCTATTTCAATTTTTCAGTGTACCACATGGCAACACCACTACTACTGGATTGTACCATAGAGGTAACTCTAAGACCACTGGGTCCCGAAGAAAATCATTATTATTTTTGGCTCACTCAGTACCAGAACAACGGTCCCAAGCAGTCCCAAGCTATTTCACTCACCCCTGCATGTTCTGCATGAATCCACACACCCCTGATGTTATCTGTCAAACTTTCATAGCGAATCAAAACAAACATAGTGTAGTAATAGAATTTCAACTAGAATAGGGTACGTTAATCGTTTGCTTGGGACCAATAGGCTACTAAAGTGGTGAGCCAATTTAAAATCGTTAGTTTCGTATTGATTGTTGATTGTACCACATGGCAACACTACTACTGGATTGTACTAGCATTTTCACCAAATGTATTAGAATGTTTTGGTTCTATCTCTTTCACACTAGTCAAGACTGAAATGCATAAAAAAATGACAAAATGATATACTCTTTGCACACTGTCAAAGAATCATTGTACACAAAATCAACTTTGTTCAAACAAAACAAAATAACTAACCCATCTGGTGGATGATGGCACAAGCTTCCAAGAAAATTCTATTACAGTGAACCACATTATTTTAATGGATTTCTTCGCCAGTTAGTCGTCTGTCACTTCGTTTGTGCTTTCATCTCGTTAAGTTTAAAAAAATTTTTATTTCTTAGATATTTGTATATGTAATTTACATTTATTGACAATTTCAAATAAAACGTTTGAATTTAAATAGCATGTAAGGCAACTATTGTAAAACGGTCTACACTGATTGACGACAAATATAAAACAAAGTTGGAAATTTCTCCCGGATGAAGCGTTTAATTTTTCCATATTTCCCCAGCACTTTATCCAGCTCGTTGTCGGGTACCTCTGGTGGCAAGTCATACGCACATATTGGATGAATTCACCAGCATGCGACATGCGTACCTTTGCTGTCGTTCCATTCGCATAATGGAAGATTAAGAATCGCTTCCTCTGATTTGAACTTCATGAAGATTCCCCTTTCCTCACCAAAGCGATAAACAGCTTCCATTTCAGCCAGATCCGCGTCGAGTGCTTTGTGCGAAATTAACAATCTCTCCGATGTTTGGTTTAGCATCACCATGGCTGAAGCTAAACTTGATGGTGTTTTTTATTTCACACATCTTGCACCGTAGCAACAAAAGGCACCGAACTGCTAGCAACGAGTAAAGAGCAACTATATAATAGCGAGTCTCGAAAACAGGCTATCACGTGGTTCACACCGAAAAAAAAAATCGACTGCTGCTGTAGACAGCTGTGGGACAACTGGATGTTGTTCATGATATGTTATAATACACTGACTCACATAGTTGTAAGATCCAACTGGTATTATCCTCGGATTAAATCTTGATCAAGACTGTCCGACTACTTTGATGTCGACATCAGATGTAATCAACACGATTCTAAGCAAACACTTTGCAGATCATAAAAACATGGACGGGATTATAAGTTAATCCTATTTGGAGCTCACCGCCATAAGTGAAACCTCACTCGATTTTCCTCATATTCAAAGTTTTTTTTTCTGGAAAAGTTCGGAAAATTTTACTCGCTTTGTGAGGAAATCCCTTTTTTTTTTTTGCAAAATTGAGTCGAATTTAACTCAATTTTAAGTCGATCTCATCAAACGTAAAGCTTATTTTCAGAAAAAAAAAACGAAAAACTTAATTTAGCTACAAAATATTTATTTTGACCATATAAATTGTATCTTATAACAAACTCACTTCGTAAAGCATTACAATACATAATTTAAAATAGAGATATGTATATATTTATATACACCTTTGTGTTCATGCTATTCAAGGTGATTGTCACTGCAAGGTGTAACACGTGGAAAAAACTGGAATTGCAAATAATGAGTTAGCTTTTTATTTTAAATTGTCTATATCATGAACTTACTCCAAGTAAATTTCTGGGAATGTATCCCTCTCTTCCGCCGCAATCCTTTGCCCACCACCATTCTCTCTCAGATTCGTCTCCTTTACGTATAATGGTTAGCTTATCGTTTACTGAAAAACTCAATTCGTCTGGCTGTTGAGCATCGTACGAAAATACTGCGTAAACTTCTCCACTGTTCAATATTCCTAGTTTTTCTTGAATACCTGGAAAGATGATAAACTTGTATTTACTGAATATTTTGAAAATAAATCGACATTCATACTGTATAAATATTCAGAACAGCCATCAAAGCCTTCTTCATCCTCTTCACACTTTTCTGCAGGAGTTTCATGATCGGACAAGGTTGCCGCAAATAAACAAGCTCCGGACTCAACTAAAAATTTCACCATTGAGAGATTGTTGCAGCTTGCAGCACAGTGCAGTGGGGTCCATCCATCGGAATCCTGTGCATTAACGTCGCAGCCAAAGTTAACTAAAAATCTACAATAACATAGAAAGCTAAATAGAATGCAGTTTATCAAATATGTATGTACTACACCTACTTAACAATTTCCACGTGACCGGCACAAATTGCATTGTGAAGCGCAGTAATACCTTCATCGTTTGCGGCACTCGGATTAGGTACCTTTGAAGTAGAAAAATGATTGAATTAAAATGTATACTTTAGGTTGTTTTAAAGGTTTAACATTGCAAGCAGGGTTACTTCCACTCACTTGCTATAAAAAATTGGTTTTTGGTATTATGAAATCACTAGCTGAGTGTGTGTAGACTGGCCCACATTTATATAGGGGAATTTTTTTATATTTTTTTCAACGGGCCAACCCCTAGATTTGTGCCATTAGGTGAGAAACCCAATCTCGGAAATTTCAGCTCATTCGGATGCAACACGAACTGGCGCTTTTGATTTAGAGTTTATATGAGGATATTGGTTGAAATGTATGAATAAATAATACTCCTTCACTCTTTCGTGCATAAATTTGGTTCAGCAAACTCGATTAATCTCAGAATTTAAGCACATGTAGCTTAAACAATAAGGATAAACTTTTCCGAAGACAGGATCACGATTCAAGTTATTATTATGAAGATATTAATTAATTATGTGCATTCTGCTCGTATATTCCAACAAAATACAGGCAACTTGTGCAACGTATCAACTAGATGACCACTAAAAAATAAAATTTCATATTTTCCACTGACCAACATCCAGACTGGTGTCAGTAGGTGAGATAAGCATTCTCTGAATGTCCCCATAGGATTGCAATGATCGGGGTTGATAAGAAAATTCTTCAAGTGACTACGATGCCGGACGGATTAGTCTATGGTGACCAATTAAACACCGGATTCACGATCTTAATTAATCATAATCTTCTTGAAAATCTTTATGATTCGGTAATCGCTGGTCTGTCTTTGTCTATGCCTTCTTCTCATCCGTACGTCATTTTTAATGTCTGGATGGTTTTCTTGTCTAATGTCATGATGTGTTAGTGTGTGTGTATGTGTGTGGGTGCGCGCGCGCGTGTGTGTGTGTGTGTGTGTGTTATGTGTGTTTGCACCAAATGGTAATATTTCTTCCTCATCTCCTAGAATAATTAGCTAAAAAAAAAAGTTGCAAAAGTTCATACCATAACATATCTAACTTACTATCAACATTTGTTAACTAATACCTAAATGTAATTTTTTATTTTATGACGATCAGTTGCTGAAAATAGGAGCCTGTAATTCCGTACCAGAATCCACCTCCAATTTAATATCTTTCGATGTTTTCGAAGGCGAACACTCCGCAACCTATTCTTGCTAGTGATTCTGTTCAATTGTATCCAAAAAATCCACTCGCAGCCACAATCAACGATTCTACGAATCGCGAGCGCTCACGAATCATAAAACCGCTGACTGCGATACTCTGAATGCGAAATTGACGGCTCTATGCGTCAAACACTCGCCCTCTAATCTCCTCTCGTATCCAACAAAAACAAATCCCCATTACAACATCTAACGATTTCCAAACTCCGAAAATCACTCATCTATAGCAAGTGAGTGGAAGCAACCCTGCATGCCACCATTCTTCATGATACACTTTTTCTGCCTATCTTTCTATTAGGTTTTTTTTTTTAATTCTTTATTTAAGAGATTTTTAGCCTTAGGCCTTTCTATTAGGCCTATAGACATGCGTTAGCTTCGAAACTTCTAACCAAACTGGGAAATCTATCATATCACAAAAACTTGAAAAAACTTTCAAAGGTATTATTGATTATTTTACGCAAAAACGAGCCAGTAATATTAAATCTTTTGTATCGTATGCTAATGCCAATTGACTGTAACAAAAATAATATGCTAAAATAAAATAAAATTTTAATAAAGTGATATGCAAAATTTACTAGAAGATCATTATTTTATTGGTGAGAAGTTTCTAATAAGCCCTCCCAGTTCCTCTGTATACAGAACAAATCTGATACTATAATCAGAATTGCTCAGTCTGCATTAAGCAGCCGATTTCATCAAGGAAGTTATATTAACAACCAAGAATTAATCGTTTGAGGCATACTGAAGCATATTTTTTTTTTTTTTTTTACAAATTGTCTTTATTATCTGAGTATTATAAAAATATCAAAATTACAACTGTTTCATGTAGCATCTATATACACAAATAGTAATAATTATGTCTGGTTATTTAGTTAACAGATGTTAAGATATGTTTTAAAGTTTATATTGAATGCTTTTCTGTTATTCCATCTATAATCCCTTATTATTTTTTGAAAAGAATATAAACTTGGATTTTTGTAATGTATAACGTTATACGCCATTGCCTCAACTACTATAAATAATACTGCTTTCTTTTTATGGCTTTTCTTTGATATACCGTAATACAAAATTTCTTCTAGTGATTGCAGTTTGATTTTTAGATTTTTTGCTATGACATTTTGTATCCATTTCCAGACTAACCCGGAATGGTTGCATTCTTTTATTCGATGAATGTTTGTATCAGGCTTTTTGCAAATTTCGCAGAGATTATTATTAACTTTGTCAGTATAGTTATACAATTTAACTTTGTTTGGAATAACATCATTGAAAGCAAGATAAAGAATTGATCTAGCATTTGAACTGAGGAAACTTTGATTAATATTTTCCCATATGCAGTCCCACCACAAATGTGGATACTTTTCCTGAATTATTGGTTGTGTTTTCATTTCGCTTATGCAATAGTTGTATAAACTCCTATTATTTTCTATACAATTATTGTTTGAAAGTTTTTTTTGCTTCTTCAATCCATTTTTTACTGTTTAAGGATAATATGTTTTGATTAGCTTGTTCCAACAGAAAATGATTGATTCTTTTACCTGAGTTAAACAACAAACTCCTGATATATAGCGCCTTACATTGGCTTTCTGGGTCAATCAATTTCAATCCACCCTTGCTATAATCAAGATATAGCTGATTCCTATTAACTCTAAAAAAATGGGAATTCCAGAGAAAATAGCCTGATTTTTTCTTTATTTCAACTAAATGATAATTATTAGGTGGCAGGACCTGAGAAACATACCAGAGCTTTGATAATAGAAACGTATTTAGAATTGTATTCCTTTCTAATAAATTGAGTTTTCTAGCACTATATATCTGGCAAGCAAAAGTAATTGAATTCAATAATTTATCAAAATTGCATTTTATCATATCTTTCCATTTGTCTTTAACTATTATTCCTAATATTTTCATTTGTTGTTTTTCTTGGAATATTTGGGGGCCCAGCTTGCAGTTGTTGAATCTAATATAACCCGATTTCTCAAAGTTAATACATATAGCAGCCTGTAGTGCAAACTCATTTATGACAGACATTACAAGATCAAATTCCTTGTCACTCCTCACGATCAACGTTAAATCGTCTGCGTATGCCATTATTTTTATCAAGTTACCATCAATCATTAAGCCTAACGTACTATCATGAAGTTGACGGATGAGAGGTTCCACATAGAGCGAAAACAAAAGCATCGAGAGTGGGCAACCCTGCCGCACGGAACGATCGATTTTTATGGAAGCAGTGAGAAACCCATTCACCATAACTTGTGATGACGCATCGGAGTCTCCGGATGAATGTTATAAACTGCGTTGGAATTTTGAGTTTCTCCAGTGTTTCCCAAAGCCGACCATGGTCCACCGAATCGAAAGCTTTCTGAAGATCCACACTGAGTAGCGCGATCTTTACCCGTTTACTCTACTGCGTCCTTGCTATGACCGTTCTTATCTTATCCAGGTTTTGCACACAAGACTTCCCCTCCAACCCTGCAGTTTGACCTTCACCTACTAGTGAATTCATGCAAGCCTTGAGTCTGCTTGCACAAATTTTGGTGAGAATCTTGTAGTCTGTATTCAGCAAACTGATCGGTCTATAGTTCTGCAAGTCATTTCGATCCTTCGACTGCGGAATTAAAATGATTATTCCCTTCGCAAAGTTTTCTTGCATCCATTCCTATGCAAGAAAACTTTGCGAAGGGAATAATCATTTTAATTCCGCATGCCAGCCATCCAAAAATGATTAGAATAGTTCATTCATTTGGGTTATCATTCGTTTATGGTATTTTTTTATTATTAAGGAAGTCTTTTACAGCCACTATTGGGCATTTTGTGTGACCGTGCATGTCCCATTGCTGTTTAAGGCTCTGAACAATTTGGTGGATTTTTTTTAACTTTTGGTTAAAATTTGACATATGGGAAGTTATCGATGTCTTCTTGATTTGTTGTCTTCGCCTAAAGTTATCGATTAACCCTGCTATCCGAGCATGGTTATTTCTGACAGACAAGAAGTTAAATTTTCACGACCGTGGAGTTTGACAGATAAAATGAGGGGTTCGTGGATTTTCCTATGTTTCGAGGGGTGCATCGATTAGCTTGGAACCGAAGATAGTACCAGAGCTAGGCCAAAAAGTTGAGCACGTTTCTTCGGGACCTTCTGGTCTTAGAGTTACCTCTATGCTTATACCCCGTACAGACTAGGACTAGACTAGGAAAATATCCTTGAAAAAAGCCACAACCTATGGCCGAAATGTTGGGCAGATTACATCGTTGTCGTTGCAGTGTTTTAAGACTGAGAAAGCCGGTAATCAAAGCAAAATTTTAGCTTTTGAACTTTGATCGGAAAATTCCGGAAGAAAACTCCGAGGAATGTTTGAATTAGCTTCTGAATAGAGCTGAAAAAACATCCAGAGAAAGACGAAAGAAGCTCTCCTGGATGAAGTTCGAGAAAAGCTGGAAAAACTTACGGGAAACTTCAAAGACACGAGCTCATTTATACGGATGCACTATGGTCGACAACGCAAAATTTCACGACAAAAATCGATATCTCGAAAAATATGCACTCTAGGGGTTTGATGCCTTAGGAAGAGTTTGTCTACAAGATAAGATCTTCCTTTTGGCGTAGGGTGGTCCTCTTTTTTCAAAATAAAAAAAATCGTAACTTTTTATTTATATGTATACTTGCGAATGGGAATACATGCTTTTACAAAGTCAAAGACAATTTAATTTTAAGCAACTTTGCCGAAAACATCAAAATTCTATCTCATCAACACATAATTCTATGAACGTTTTTCTAAATTCAGATAGGGTGTGTCTGAAAAAAACTCTTTTTTTGTGCTAACC